GTATATTCCATCGACATCTTAAGACACTGATGGCTTCTTTGGCATCCCATATCATTGGTGTCTGGCATATTCCATCAATAGCTGAAGACATGGTTGCCTTATTGGATATATCATTGCATATTTTTTATTTATTATATATTTATTCATTACATAAGACTATGTAATATTCGCTATTTTTTAAAAAGAGTTCTGTTTTCAATGTTTTGAAATTTGTTAAACAAAATTTATTGAGACATCATATTCACGATTATTTTAATAGTCACAAAAGGGCCGAACTAATCCAAACAAATAACCGTTATAAATACACACACTTTTTGTCATAAATTATCACCCACGTTTTCCAATGGCCGTTCAGTTTTATTTTCAGCTAATTTAAATTTATTTTACTTATTGGAACTTATTTATCTTTTGAGCAAATCAATTTAAGTTCCTTAAACTAACTTATATTGCATTTGTTTTTAAATTATCCTTGAAAAAAAACACTTCTTTCTATATTATACATTTATTAACAACATATTAAGTACATCTACAATATAGTTTATTTTGTAAGTAATAATATAGTTGGAAGGAGAAAAATTTATAATAAAAATGATTACAAAAACAAGCTTCTTTGCATGCTCTGAGAAAAATTCCGTTATTTAACTCTATAAAGAAGATTGAAGCTGACACACGAGACTAGTACGTACTAGATAAAATTATTGAAATTATTTCTAGCACAACAGAGATGTCTACATTCGTTTCAAAGTAACATTTCAATTTGCGTGGACAACATAAATAATATAAACCACAAAAAAAATATGAAATAATTAAGTAACGAATTAAATTCTTTATTTTTGTATTAGCGAATATATTTTGGTATTAATAAAATAGAAATGTTCGATTAGTTTTAATTAATATTTTAGTATACCAATTTTTTTGTAAGAGACTTTGAAGAAAAATATCTTTATATTATAAGATGTAAGTGCGTATATACATATATATCGATTTGTTACAAAACCTTGTTAAAGAGCAGAGGTTAATATACAGTTACTAATTAAGGACCGAGTACAGAATGTAAAGGGGAGAAATCTCATTGATGTGTGGTACACGTAGTGAAATTGTGATTCTGAGGTGGTAAGTTAATTATTCAGATCGTTGATACAAAAATTCCTGCTATTAGGCTATTAGGTTACCCCTAAATTTCTTAGTCAGATTATTTCATTATTTTCTCATTTATACTCGATATGACTAATTTACTAAAGTAACAATCTCATATAACAAAAAAATAATTTAACAAAACGTGTCTCATATATTAGCAAATTAAGAATATATTTTCTGAATATGTTAAGATTGTAATTTAGTGTGTTGGAAGTTTATAGAATTTTATTAATACTAACAGCAAGATATTCGAATGTCGTAATATAACCATAATACTCTCAAAGCAAAACTTTTTCGGCTTGTCAAAGCTGCTGGTTTGCCTGTATGAATATCATTAATTTAAATTCTCCTTTTGGTCTATAAATATCAGAATATTAATTTTGCAACATTTCTCGTTTTCAAATCAACATAAAATTTATGTAACCAATTTTCAACTAACTATGCTAGATCAGCTCGTTTTAGGAGAGTTTTTGGAAGAAGTTAAAATTTATTTTATTTTCAAGACTAATTATGTTAGATGCAAAGGCGCAAATGCTAAAAGATACATTACCTGTCAAAAGAAATTCATAGCGTTACCGATGCCAATAGAAGTTCTCAAAATATATGTAAAACTATGTAATAAGTTTAAAAAGTTTAAAACAGAACAGAGGCAAAGGGAGCACTGCTGGGAACGTCTCACGCGACTTCGAACAACAGTCAAGATGAAAGTGACAGGAACCAAGCTTAACGTCAAACCAAACAATATTAAAGTTTTCTTCTTAGGCAACAAGTTTGTAAAACCTGTTCTAGTCAAACTTTTCGTGTATAAGTTTTTCGCCCGAGTATAACTTTGTTGTTTTCCTAAAATAAGATATTATAATATCGATGCGTTCTTATTTGCTTCTACGTAATCCATGAGAATGACACGAAAAACTTTTATAATTAACCTGACAGGTTCGGAAAATTTTCACAGCTCTCCCTTGCTGATCTAATCCTTTAAATAAATAAATATTTTATATCATTGTCTGTGTAGTCAAAGATATTTTTTTAGTTTTTAGTTAAAATACATAATTTCTTGCAACCATAGATATTAAATTAAATTAAAAAGAAAGAAAATCCAGAAAAGATCCAGCGGTTCTCAAAATTCTCAAGCGCAAAAAACATTTTTTTTTGGAAATTTTCAAAGTAAAATAACTCCGTTATTTTGGACTTATTTGAAAAACGGTAAAGAGAAAAAATGTTTCTTTTGACCAGATCTACCACCCCCTTAAAATATTTGCACTTATTTCTGGGACACCCTGTATTTCTTACAGATCTTCCAGTACCTGTAATTAAAACATTTTGTAAACTTTATTAACTGTCTGACTCACTCTTATGAAATGCAAATACGGCTTTACAGAATGACAAGAAAAGAAGAAAAGTGGATATTTAATTACTACTACTTTTCGAAAAATATCGCTTCAAACTTGTTACCGAATGTGCATGAAATTTAAGAAGAAGTTACAGCAGTAAAGCTGCGAAAGGCTTTGCCACCGACAAAATGAATATTTTTGGGATTTTAAGACCTTCCTCCTTCAGTTTAAGACCTTTTGTAAGAGCAACGCTTCCCTAAAACGGGCATTTTTTTCTGCAAAGTTTTCGACGGTTGCCAACATGAGATATATTTTTGTTTGAGCTACTTAACGACATTTTTAATAACAATTTTTTACCAAACGCCTTTTTCTATCTCAGACTTTTATAAATGAATGATATGAACCTACATTCAAAAGTATTAAAACAGAATAAATAATCATGAAATGAAAGCCATATAAATATTAATCATCTGAAAAAATATCTCGTCGTGTATAACGATGCCATTGGAGCGATAAATGTTTAATTAGTTTGGTTATAGACTAATTGTTTTCACAATAGCAATTAAAAACTTGCTAGTGTTTTGCACTCTCAATTAAATGTTATCATGTCGAAGAAAAAGTTAAATTAAATTTGGAAGATGGCGGTAAAAGTTACGCTATTATAAAATTCATTAAAATATTTCGTTTTTTTTCTTCTCGTAGGGTTTTAAAACATGTTACGAACTTCAGACAGAACAATCTTACATTAAACAGTCTCTAGAACTTTACTTCGACTAGAAATACAGCTATTTTTGTAGAAAATTCAGATAATTAATATTAAAACTTAGAATAAATGATAAAGAAATTAAAGAAACAGAAATCCCCCCAAAATTCTATTTTGCCTATACAGTACGTACCCGGATTGTCTTTACAAAAGGAAAAACTTTTTTATTATTCACATTTTGAGAAAAATGTATTCTTCATAAGAATTTTTGCTTGTTTTAAAATGGTTACCCCGTTTATATTTTTTAAAATTCCCATACCGTTTTGGAGAAAACTAAAAAAAGCATGTATGATATGATTGATTTTTTCCTAACCTTAAAAATTAAAACGCGGTTCTACGGTAATATAATTTCGATTTCATTCTTTGATAGATGGTTATTATTAATTTTGATTAATGTCATATTTTTGCTGTTATTAAAGTATCACATTTTCCAATAACTATTATCGCCCTTCCCGTAGCATTAAAATAAATAAATTTTATTCTTCTAACATTTTAAAACAGCAAAAAATTCAACTATATTTCCATTTTTTTATTTACTCTAAAACGGTATGGAAATTCTGAAAAGTAAAAACGGGATTAATGATTTTAGAACAAGCAAAAATTTTTATGAAGAATGAATTTTTCTTAAAATGTCAATAATAAAAAAGGGTTTCCTCTTGTAAAGACAATCCGGGGACATTCTGTATACGTAAAACATGAAATTATTGGGAATTTTAGTAAAGTTAAATAAAACATTTTACATATTGGTATTTGTGAGTTTTAAGTAAAAAAATAAATTAACTTAACAGCATATGCGGGCTCATGTATACCGTTCTTCCGCAATTTACTACATTAAATAGTATGGTTTACACCTATGCTAGTATTTGCTCTAGCCCTAATTTTATTACATCTGCATGGCCGCACAATTTAAAGCTATTGTGTTATGAAACAAACGTGTTGTTATATCTGTATATATATATTTAAGCCTGAGTTTGTTTTTAAACTATCCTATATGTATAACAATTAACTTTAATATTTATTTATTCTCATTAACTCATTCGCAAATAATAATAGCATTTTAAGAGCCAAAATAAAATTAAAAATCGCTTAATTTGAGTTAGTTTGGAGTTAGTAATAGTTATATTTCTAATAAATCAACTTGACTATATATTCCTAGTGTCCGTAATTTTTTATTACTAAAGATGTAAGACAACTACCGTATGATCGATTAAAAAATGACGGTAAATGACATTTCCCATATACTAAAATGACAGCGATCTTTATTTCATAGCCATTGATGACACCGTTTTTTTTTTCGATCATATTGTATTATACAGGGTGTTCCAGAAATAAATGCAAGTATCTTAAGGGGTAGCCTAAAGGAACATATTTTTTCTTTACCATTTTCAAAACAGAATTTTCAACATTTTTTTTTCCCAAAAAACCTATGAGGGTTTTACCGGGGTCGAACTATACTGGCTAGTGAAAATACTTGCACTTAATTCTGGGATATCCTGTAGAACGGACTACATGAAGAGAATAGTATTATTGTTCTAAAGCAAACAATAATGATAATGTTAGTTTACTCATAGTTAAATTCAATTTTAATAGAATTTCTGTAGGAAGTAACGGAATTGTCTACGAAGGGGGAAGTTTAAATCACTATACCGGCTAAAACTAAGGGAAACATAAAACATTTAATGTAAAAGTTTCCTCAATTCGTGGAAGAACACTCCAGTCCAAATGATACGGCTATAATAATAAAATTGAACTTTATAGAATCGACTTACCGTTACACTGAAATAATAGAAGGATATAGGCTAAACATGGATATATAGAAGTTCTGCTAAAAGTTCGGAGACTGTGCATGATTATCCAATTCAAACCACTTCAGCTGCACTATTTGTCACTCCCATCATTCTGCAAGGACAAAAAAAAATGTTAGAAAGAAAAACCTTTTTTAGCTTTATATCGAAGAAAATTATGCATAAATCAAATTAACATGAGAGTTTTAAGAAATCCTGACAAAGAACAATATAAAAACTTTGTTTAAAATGAATAATGCTTAATTAAAATCTGCAATCATGGACCATAAAATAGAAATGATTTGTGTTAAACAGCACAGGCTCTCTGTATATTTAAAGCTACATATATAAAGTGTGGTGACATATTCATCGATGCGCATCATTGCAGCAGTGGTTTTCAGATGTCATTGATTTCCACACTTGGCTGGCTGAACTGTTCATTGTTTCTCTGGATTAAGGCTATACCTCATTCAATTTTCTTTTCGCTTGTGTTTCTTCTGTATAAATTATTTTGGCGTTCAGCCCATGCACGCATATTGTGTGTGTTATGTTGACATTTTGATGGGTCGAATTATATCGGATTTTCTCCAGCTCATTACTCTAAAATTTAGTGAATATTTCAGCTGCTCACTTTAAATATCGTTCGATATAATCCAGAGAGGGAAAATGTAATTATTTCACAAATCTTTCACATATTTCTGAACCAAATAAAAAATAAATCGGTCGAACCCGACAAAAGAGAATAAAGCAATAAAGTGTGACGTCTTTTATACAAGGTGTTTCAAAAAGCATGTGCCACCTCTCGTGTAAATAACATTCCTCACGTATAAATAAGATTTATTTTTCATTTTAACATATATGTCCGATTGTGCTTTGTTTTCGATTTGTTTAAAACTTGAAAAGTTTTAAATAAGTACTCATTGATTTCTCATCAAAAAATATGAAAAAAAGTTCCTATAAACATAGGTATGGAAATGCATAATTTTAGAGTTACAGTTTTGTAATAATTATCTTAAATACCATTATTTTTTAATTTGAAATCGCTGTAGGTTGGACTAATAGTAATAATAACTATTATTAATTTTATTTTTATTTTAAATTTATTAATTCTGATTAATAAAATTGCGTTTATCTCATCAAGGAGGCCGAATTCGACAACATATCAAGAGATAACTTTTAACTAGTATTAAGCGGGCTATAAAATTTTAATATTAAAATAAAAAAAAAATATTCTACTTATCGACCCTTTTTTAGCAATAAAATATGTAGCACTTATAGTAACTTTTACCCCCAAAATTTTACTCCGTTCGCTAAAAGTACTTGGAAGAAAATTATAATAAATCGAAAAAAAAATAAAACTTTAACACCCTGTAACCACGAAACAAAGCAGAATCGGACCTATGATGATATGAAAAATAAATTTGATTTTTAGGTGAGGAATCTCCCCACAAGAGATGGCAATGTTTTTTTGAAACACCTTGTAGAGAAACTGTGTATTATGCCAGTGGAAATTTCTGCTTTGAGAACACAAAAATAAAGCTTTAAAATTTATATCAGCACAAATAAAAGAACATATATTCAATAACACACTAATTTAAAACAAGCTGTTTAATTAATTATCAAAAACAGACGAATTTTTCTCTGTATTTTTAAATGTCGTACAAGGATAATAAACCAGGCAACAAAGAGAAGAGCGAAAAAAGGCATAAAGTTGATAAATACGTGAACAAGTTTCCGTTACAGAGGAAATATTTTATTTTATCTTTTCATCAAATTAAAGCTTACAGCGGAGCGTTGATTAACAGTGCATAAAATTTATTTTATCGTGGCCTGACTACTATGCTTCAAGCTGACAGTCCCGCCAAATGCCTGTTCGACTACTGAATGGTGAAATTTTTCTTTTTTAACGATTATACACATTTTTAGAAATAAAAATTTGACTCTTTACAATACTCCCCCCTTTTTGCCGACCAATTTGGTAATTAATTACGAAATAAAAGCAAAGGGTAATATTTCAACGACACACTACATCACATTTTGGACGTATTTGTTAGCAAAAAATGCATTTTAGCTAAATTACAATCGCAAATATTTTCGAAAAAAAAGCATCGCGCCGAGTACTTCATTTCGTCCAATTTTTTTGAAAGCGACGGATAGCTGTAAATGCTGTCAATTTTGAACTGGGAGTATAATGATAGAGCAAAGAAAATATATAACATTCTACCAATATTATTTTGAACGCTAACATTTTCCTTAACCAGTGATCTCTCTCTTTATTTCCCGTTAAGAAATAAAAAGGAAAATAAAGAGAAACAGTCGATAAATTCCAAAGAGCTTGATATTGAATATTTAAGATATTGAACTAAGTCCTAACTATGCGGCGATTTAGAGGCTATTTAATTAACTGTACTCAAAGTATTTTTCATAATAATAATAACCATTGCACTATATATAAATTTTATGCATTTTTCGAAGTCTATAAAGACCTTTATTAAATTTGACTATTATAGTTAAGTCTTTATAAAATTGTTGCCTTGTATCGAATTCTGATTTGCTTTTGGCGGCCGTAATATGTGAGACAAAAAACCATTTAATTTTCAACTTTTTTAAAAGGGTGTTGTAGCTTTGTTGTTTTTCGTAATTGTGATGCAGTTCCTTTCAGAATGCACCCCACGCTCCAATGAGTGCCCTTTTTTTCAAAAAGCGTTGTTGCAAAATTGTGGCTTTATCGTGATTGTGTACGTTTTGATGACATGCAAGCTCTAAGAGACACAAAAAGTATTTTTCATGCTCTTGTAGAGAACACGTTTTGCTATAAACTTTCCTAATTATGACTGACATGAATAATATTGTACAAAAACCTATATTAAAAACAAGAATTATCTAGTTATTAACGGTATTATTAATTGAGTTTGATAGAAAAATAAGAAAAAAAGATTGTTGTGATTTCTTTTCGGCAGCCATTCGTAGCTTTATGATTTTTGATAGAATACTTGATAAAGTTATATACGGAAATTGAGAAAGCCTTCTAATAGAGAACTTGGAAATTCTGATTGACAGGCGTGCTTTATTATCTAGAATACTTTGTCCCGTTGCACGCTTCTTGACATTAATTTTTAATATTTACTTTCCATCTATTTAGATATTTCAATTGATTTTGCTCCTGACACGGTGAATGGCATCAAAAAGATTTATTAATAATTATTATTTGACATTTTATTTCAATAGTATGATTATTTAAAATTAAAAAAAAACGATAGACTTTAAAAAAAAACGACTTTGACTGATTTTGATGTTATTACAAATTTTGTTGCAAATATTATTCCTAATCTTAAATTGAAAACCGCGTTTCGCTAGCTACTGTAATTTGAGTTATGATTTTTTTAAATTTTTAACCCTCTCCCATACTCCCTCCCATACCCCCTCCCATACCCCCTCCCATACCCCCTCCCATATCCCCTCCCATACCCCAACCTAAACCAAAAAATAATGGCCAGATTCTCGGGTGCCACAGTATTTTTGAGCCAAATTTGGTTAAAATCGGTTTAGCGGTTTTTGAGTTATCGTGTTACAGACGGACAGACGGACAGAAGGACAGACAGACAGACATACAGACATACAGACAGACACCATAAACTATTTTGTTTGGTACCAAACCAAACTCATTAAATGTGAGTGAAATTAAAAAAACTTTTTTTGCCGATCTTAATAGCCTACCATACCTGTTGGTATGGTCTACTCACAGTGTGACTACATATCATGTCTACTCACAGTGTGAATGTCAAGTAGTGTCAAAGAGGGATAACTTAAGTTACAAAGATATGTACGATAGATCTACATGGATGGTAAGAAGCACGTTGGAGGGAAGCTTCTGATTTTCAACTTAGGTGCAAATATTTTCTTTAGAGATAACCTTCACTTTATTTTGAGTTAATGCAGTAAGCGCGTAAAATTTTAAACACATCTTATATAAATTAGATAACCGCCAGCTCACCGAAGGATGAGAGACGACAGCACTTAAATGAATAAATATTTGTAAAGAAATTATCACCATTTCCATTTTTCATTTCCCGTCAAGCCAGTTAGTTCGTTTAACATTTATCTTATATTTCCCGGAGATGTTGTTGCAAAAATTAGGAAGGCTTTTCCGCAAAATGTAACAAAAATATTTTCACTACTACCGCTTTTTCGATTGCTTCTATTAATCTAGTATTTAAAGTATTACTCTCGAATTAACAATAGAAATTTTGAAATGAGTTTCCTTTTCCGACAAAGAATTTATTCTTTTCATCTTTATCTGATGCTATTGTAAAAAATAGGAAAGTTCTCGATAGCTCTCACTCAAACTGCACCTTAATAATAAACTACTACTGGCCGTTGAGATTTTTTCCATCTAAAAAGTCGAGAATGATATTGAGGAATCTCGTCAGTCATCAGCGAAGGAGAGCCAATTACTAACATCTAATTGCTAGAAGGAGGGTTTGTTTTTAAACATTCCTTTTTGCTTTAATGCATTTCGAGTGGTGACGAATTCTAATTTAAATTCCTAAGCCTTTACTTTTACCGAAATGACTCATGCTAAAAGCTTCGTGCACCCTAAAACAATTTTAATTGGCTTCTATAAACGATATTTTACCAATGTTAGGATCACTGGCAAAATTAAACGTATTTTCTCACGTCCACTCATTTTCTCAATAGAAGTTCAAAAAGTTTCTGCTGAGAAGCAGTATTAATTCCATTTTAATATACTACTTAGACACTTTTCAATAAAACAATTTTTTGAAAATACTTGGAATAGAGTAAAGGTTATCGTTTAATGTCAGTTAAAAAAAAAGTGAAAAAGTTTCTGTGTAAAGTGGACCGTTTGTATAACATTTTTCTGGTACATTAGCTCTTTGAATCGATTAGGTCGTGTAAGTTATCAGGAAAAACGACTAAAAATTCATAAAATTGTAAATTGGCGCCATACTGGTCTAAAACCAGCTATCAGTCGGCAGACGGTCAGCAGAGTATTACAAAAAACGCATGTGGACTGATACAGCACAGCCGGACTTTCAATTCCAACCTAATTTTGCTAAAAACTGCACACACACACGGCTTTTTTTATTTACTTTT